AAAATGAGCACTAAAAAATAAGCTAAGCCTAATAATGGAAACAAACTTATGAAGTTCCTCCAAAGTTTAAACACACACCACTTCTCTCCCTGGTGTGCTGAAGTTTGAATATACAAAATATATATTAAGATCAAATAAAACGTAGGACATTTCCTCTTCTAACTCTTTGAAATCTGTTCGTTCCAGCTTTCTTCCTCATCTGTTGAAACTTCTATGGACTCATTCTCAGCCCCATTCTCACTATAGATAATATGATGATCATTACTTGTAAATCTTAAATATGTAGACACAATGAAGAACACACAAGGCTTTCTGAAAATATACATTCCTCTTATAAAAGTTACAGTATACACAATTGAACATATACAATGAAAGGGGAGAATATTGTAATATGCTCTTTGGTACTTTAGCTGAAGCTGCCAAAAGCCCAGAGCAAAAAGTGTAGCAAACACTAACAGCACGAAACATGATACTGACGACCACAGTGACTCTTTTTCAAGATCCTTTACACTGAGGGTATTCTTGTTCAGTCTATAAAGTGTCCACCGTAACAGGGCTCGGTTGAATGCCTTAGATTCCACTGGCTTCTTGGACTTTTCACTGACTGTATGATCACCATCGGACTGAACTTCAAGTAAAGATGTATTTTCATCCTTATCATTGATGTCCACTGGCTCAGGATTTTCCATGACTCAGTTATGCAACAAACAGGCAGTCTGCAAAGAATTAAAAGTTCTGATGAAATGCATTCCCTATAAGTACAATATCATGACATACACAAAACAACTTTTAACACATGTCTTTTTTCATAATAATAACCTTTGTTCATCATAACATAAAATGTGACTCTTAATAAATGTATTGCTATTACATGAGAGGATAAATAACATAATCCTCTATAACTGACACTCAATCTGGCAGCTGTGGAACTAGATAATTCAAGAATTAAAGAAAATACCGGATAATAGGAAAATAAATTTTGATCCCAGCAAATGTTAATTTTTTTCTTTTTAATATTTACAACATAGAAAGGGGATTTAAACAAAACAGGTGATAATAAAAATTATCCATGCTTTTATGTAAGAAAAAGAAAGTTTCACTATTTATAATATTGAAGGCAGATTAAAAATTAGTGCAGGAGAAAAAATTATATACTGACAGTGTAATGAGAGTGATAGAAGTGATGAAGCCAATTAAGCAAATAATTGAAAAAGAAAGGAAATGAAGAAGAAAAGAAAGATAGAAAGAAAGAAAAAGAAAAAGTAAAGAAAGAAAAATGAGAAAAAGAGAAAAAAAAGAAAGAGAAACAAAAAGAAAGAAAGAAAGAAAGAGAAGGAAAAGAAGAAGAACAAAAAGAAGAGAAAGAAAGAAGGAAAATGGAGGAAAGGAAAGGAAAAAGGGTGAAAAAAGGGCAAGGGTGGCAGGGGGAAGAAAACACACAAACACTCCTAAGACCTTTTCATTATATTTCCCTGTAGAAGCAAAATAGAGGAAACGCCTTCAACATTGCCGTGTGCTTCTTTGTTCTTCTCTTCATCAATTCATTCACAATTTGTTCAACATAAGTCCTACATGAAGTGAATCATAAGATGATCTGCTTAATGTGAATATCCTTAAATTAAGTAAATAATTCCAACTGTAAAACATGATCACCTCTCATTAACAATTTTAATTTCTCCAGAAAGTAAATTTATGAGCCTTCATCGGCTACACGTGCTGGTTTGTATCATCTTCATTTTCCTATTAAATAAATTACTGATTATGGCCAAATCAGTCAGATAATCACGGGTTTTACTTGGTTCTTCATGGAATTAAAACTTCTTCAGAAACTGTCCTAAGGTGTGGGTATGTTTCTTATCATATAATGGAAAGATCACTTACATGATAACATGGCCACAAGAATAATTCAATAGGACATTTAATAGTAATTTCATAGTATTACTATTCAAGAAAGTAAGTTGTATGGATTAATTAGTCTTGAAGGAATTTACAAAATCTTTACAGTATGGACACACTTATAAAGGCCAATAAAGAAGAAATATAATTTTCTTCACCACCAAAAAATAACATACTTTATATGTTACAAAATGCAACATAAATTAAAAAAAACAAAAACATTTAGAAAGTTATTGGCAAAAACACACAAAAAAGCGAGAGAGAAAAAAAGAAAGAAATGGCCGTTAGAATCGTTAGAATATTTTTGCAGGATACCGAAAGGTTAGCCACATCAATATCTAAAATCCTTCTGGCTGGTAGTCACCAAATTAAGATAAGAGGATAAAATATAAAATATAGGTGATATCTTCGTGAATTAAGAGACAAAACTAATACTATATATAGTTGAGAGAAATAACACCAATCAAATACGACTTAGTCCGACATGAATAGTTAATCCATCGTAAACCACTTTACTATCTAATCATTTCACAATAACTTCTTCCTACAACGGAATCTTTGGAAATTGGGTCAACTATAAAAAATCAGCCCATAAAATACATAT